GGGGGTCCACCTAAAGAAGATCTACGGTCTGTGGAGTTCTGGGATTCCGGGGCTGTCGGCCATTTCAATTTGGGATCCCCTTTTTTATAGTATCCCTTAAGTAGATAGAATATGGCTTTGGGTACATTATAATAAGATCCCCCTTTACCCCATATTCTAGCTACTTACGGGGGACTACATCCATAAACTAGGGTTCATATGTTTTGGCTCGGGCTCCATCAACGTTAGCCTCTGTGCTTTTCATCCCCGAAGGGAAGGGTCACTGCCTTCCTTGCTTGATGGGTTGCCACGCAGGCCTATTTCAGTGAAATCAGCCCCTCCATGATCAATTGACCTGAGGGATACCTCCCCAAAAAGGTGATGCTTGTGCTTTTTTAGTCTTTCCTTCTGCCTGCCGCCTGCTCACTACGCGTGAACGTTCACTTTCATACAATTGTTGCTTTCCGCCTGCTGCGAATCTTGCTCTTGCTACGGCTGCAAAAGCTTGAGCCAGATGTTGAGCTTCATGAACAAAAGCGAGAATGCCATTTCAGAATTGGCTTCCGTCCGAATTGGCTCCCGTCTCAGCGTCCGGATGCTTGCTAATGCGCGCCAGTGCCTTCTTCTTCCACCACCGGTGCAAAGGTGAGAAACCAGCAGGTTCTGAGCAAAAAGCGCATCGTAGCTACGTTAAGTCAGGGCTTAGATACCCACATAAAAATCATAAAATCTAGTCGAAGCTTTTGCTGGGCCTTGAGCTAGCGTGAGCCTTCTTCAGGGTCGTCTTGTGGGTAAGCAATCTCCCGATCCTGTTGACTGTACAAGACTGTAGCGGAGTCATGTTCCACACTGCTAAACTACGACTGGCATCCTTCGCCAGGAAGAAGATGGAGACGAAGCCGATGAGGACGTAAACGGCTTGAGTGGATGCATGTCACAGGAACCTGCAAGAAATGGCACCAGGGAATGTTTGGAGGGAAAGGCCGTTCAACATCCGAACAGCTAAGTCTAGGGCCTAGGGTGAGCCCAAACTTCAACCTTCATAACAATGTCTATCCCCTCAAAATACTTCCAATCAGGCGACATGTGGCGCCTGAAATGTGCTCACGTGCAGGTTTCATGAGGTGACTATAGTTCTTCCTTGTGGGCTTGTCGATTGCCAGGTGCGATGTCGTGTCAGGATGTCCTGGGTTCTGTCGCATGCACAACTTCCTGCTCGCAGAAGGAAACTGTCAGAAGAGTCAAAGCTTCGAGCAAAAGAATTTACAGCTGAAGGTTCACGTATCAAACCCTCTCCTACAGCATGCTTGTAATTACGCTTGTGGCCTCAGTGCGTCAACCTGCACGAGATACCGTGTTCCGCCATAGTCTTGCAAATCAACGACTTGTTGTGATTATGATCATGTGTGCTGTCACCTCCACCTGCCGCTGCTAGTACTGTACGCCGTCCCAGGATGCCGACGTGCGTGCTCTGCAGCCCATTGTCATCAGACCAAGAATTGAAAACCAGGCTGGCACAGAGTTTTCATTGCATTTTCAGCGGTTACCACGCTGCTTCATTCACAGTTTTTACAGGGCTTCATGCAGGTTATGTAGGGGGTGTGGGAACGATCTGTTTTCCGACAGGATTTTAGAGTGCCTGTCCTCTTGGTCGGAATCAAGACCAATCCCCTTGGCTTTGATGGGTATGGGCTGAAGGTTTGGGATCTGGCCTCCTTTGGTCTACCTTGGCTTCTCCCACCAGCAACTGAGGTTTTCAAAGGCACTTCTTAGGAGGGGCCCTTATGACTTTCTCATAATCCCAGGCCCTCGAAGCCTTGAAGTCCCTAGCATTCTGAAAGGCCCCCGTCCAAGTTCATATCGTGTGAACACCGAGGGCTGAGTGGCGTGCCGCACTGGACACCCATCCCCCGCAAGCTGTGCCACCCGCTCCTCGTTCTGCACTCTTTGTCATGTTAGATTATGGCAGATCAGGTGCCCTCCGCCACACAGACATGTAACCCGCAAAGGCCCTTTTGAACGCACAGTAGGTCCTTGTTGAGTGTCTTCTCAGAGTCTGAACCTTAACCCCCCCCTTCGACATTTGCTTTTGCGAGGTGGCGATGATAACAGCAAAGGAAAGCCCACCGCCAGGGACTCAGGCCTCCTTCGCTGTCGCTCAATGAGGAATGGGGACAGGACGAGGAGGAGGAGGAGCAGCTGTTATTGTTATTGGCTCCGCCGG